GTTATTTTTTATTTAGGATAATAATAAAATTATTTTATTTGTTAAAATAATATACTATATTTTAATAAATAAATTTTGGTATTGTTACTCTCACATATATTATATAATAAATAATTGAATTGTGTATTCATATACATATTAACTAATACAAATATATCATTACATAAACCCCTATCAGTATATGTTGTTGAATATAATTTTTTATATTCAAATTAAATTTATGATAAATATATGATAAATATGATGTATAAAAATAGAATAATATATTTTTAAATTATGTATAAATATTTTTTTTTTAGTTTTACTTTTATGTAAGTATTTAATATATCTAAGTAGACAATAAATAAAAATAAGTTTTCAAATTTTTTATTTGAATTTTATTTTTTAAAATAATTTTATTTAATATAATTTAATCACGATGTATAATATATACTATATATTTATTTTTTATTATTATTTGTTATTATTTTTTTTTAAAAAAATTGATTCCTACAAACATGAGAATGATAAAACTTCCCATTAACTATGGAATGGCTAATCCCATGGAGATGAGTTTTGTCATTCCTATTGGAATGGTCATTCATTTCAAAAAAATATACCAATAATGGGATAGGCAATGAGTAAGTGAATGATCATTCCATTCCCATGTTATTCCTTCATACCAATCATGCCATAAGTGTCTTATTAAATAAGAAATTATTTCATGAATAATATTATTGTGCATTTAAAAGTTTGAGAATATTTTTGTGACTTAAAAAATAGAGAATAAAATAAAGAATACTATTCATGATAGATTAATTTATAACTATAACTACAAAATAAATAAGATAATGTATTGTGTCAGAATAAGTTAACTTATTGGGTTATCATGCGACGTGTGATTAATAGTATGCGATGAATCATCAATTACGAAAAAACAGACAATAGAGTTGTTGCTTTTTTATTAAATGATTGAACACTTTAACAGACATGTGGTTATTTTTTATATATCAAGAAAATATCTATATCTGTACTAATATAAAAAGAGGAATGATTTTGTAAGAAATTGTTTTAAGGAGAAAATATCTATATCTGTACTAATATAAATAAAGGAGATGCAAATTGTTTTAATAAGATTGAATTGAATTAAAATATATTCCAAAATATATATGGAACAAATAAAAATGTATGGGAAGTACTATCCTCAATTTCACAACATACATTATTAAATATGAAGTATTATAGTATAAATTTGTTACAATTTTAAATCTATATTATTTTCATATTACTAATTACATAACTACATGTCATAATAAACAAATTTGATACTCCCTCCTATTTTTAATAATTGTAGTTTTGAGAAGTTGCACAGTAATTAAGATTTTTTTTTTGCCAACAATAACTCTCATTAATGAGGATAGAGATGGATGTTTTGAGAAAAAAGATAATGAGTGAATATATGAAAAGACGTAATGTATTTATTAGTTAGATGAGAGTAATAATGAAAAAATATGTACAAAAATCCAAAACCTCATTTATTTAGTTAATTGTTGATAAAGCCAAAATGACATTTAAAAAAAAATAAGAGGTGATATAACATAATTATATAAAATTTACATGAAACAAATAGCATGATATATAAAACTGCTCCAATGTCTTATTCGAAAAAGTAGAGTATTAAGTAGGATAGATGAAAAAATAATAATAATAATAAAACAAAACACATGATATAATATATGTATTTGGACATGAATTTATGGACATAATAATAATTATTAAAATATAAAAGGCATAACATTATTCTATTATTATTCATATATAGATTTAATCGCTAGAATTAAAATATTTGAACACAATAATAAATTGATTAGAAAAAATAATAATGTTAACTAATATATATCTTTTTTATTTTACTAAGAATCTATAAATTGTGTACTACATAGTTTAGTTAAAAGGTGCCCTTTATTAAACTAAAGTTGAACAACTATTTTAAATAATATTTTTTTATCAAAAGAGTTAATTTTTAAAACACCAACAAAACCTTACAAAACATAAATATATCAATAAAAATCACATTATAACAAAGAATATCATTTAAAAAAATTAAATGCGACGATATATTGCCAAATAGATAAATATTGATTGCTTTAAGATGTCTTTTCTATTTGATATATTTATAATAGTAACACAATAATTACAACAATTAGTAAAAGATATAAAAGTATAATTTTTTAGTAAAATTAAAAGTATGAATTAGTAACACTATAATTTTTTAATAATAACTTGGTAATAATAAAGTTCACAGAGCGGCTAAAAGTATCATAATATAAGAGAATTCTAATTCTTCTCTTCTCAATATTTTAACAAATGATATGCTTCTTAATATTGTCTCATTTTTTTTATTTATTTTGTGTTCAAGAAAAAACCTTTATCTTGAATTTTCTAAGAATTATGTATAATGGTAAAAAATTGGACAATAAAATCATTAAAGAAGTTATTAGACACATAAGTACTGCAAATTCGAATGAATGTAAAAGATATTATATATAATAAGCAATGCTAAAATAATTGCACCAACCAAGATGGTCAATGATTTGCAAACAATAGATTATATAGTTCGTTTGTCTTCTAAATAAATAACATTGAAAAAGAAAATGTCGAAGCTTGATCAAAACATTCTTGAATGTTTGAATGAAATTGTCCCCTTTTTATAGGAATATTTACAATCTCATTGTGTATTTTTCTCGAACATATGTACACTTATTTTACAGTACGTACTTCATGTAATGTGATGATTTCAAAAAGTAATTTAGCGTCTCGAGAGAAATACATGTAACCAAAATTTTAGAAAGTCAACTTTTATTTGGAGATGAAATTCATTTCCACTTCGTGAGGTAATGCCTCCATGGGGTAGGTATAGACATAATAATGAAATTGTTTATACAATGATAAAAAAAAAATATCAACAATTTAATGACACGGTTGGTTAATTTACAAAGATATTCATGAACTGTTTGTAGAAATACCTTATAAAGATCATACATACATGAAATTTGACTATATGTTTGGCCAATATATTTATAAGTGTTTAAATAAAGTAGACGTTTTGCCAAACGAATTAAGACAAATTTGCAATAATATTGATGTATTGGGCTCCAACGAGTATGAATGTTTCTTATGAAAACGTCAAAACGAAAATGAAAGGAAATCACTCTCTAATCATCTAACATAATTAAATAAAATAACTAATGCATCTATAATATACATTAGGTTCTTATTTATTTATTTAGTGTTTTTTATCCATTAGGGACTGTATTTTTCTTGGAGTTGTAATATGTTATTTCATTATTTTTATATTAGGACATCATTATGTTATTTAAAAAAAAAATATTAGAAGCTTATTTGATCTATGATTTACTGCGTTCGTGCAATGATATGTTTAATAAATTAATTAATTAATTTTACTAAATTTAATCGGTAAAAAGCATTCATCACCACGTGCGATGCACGTGCACTTTACTAGTATAATTAAATGGACAAAGTCTGTGAAAATAACTTATTTAATATTTTTGTTTCGTGTATCGCACGGGGTACGTACTAATTTGATTTTATATCGGATTACATCTATGATCTATCTCTCTCAATGCCTCTCACACACACACATTTAACACATTTCTCATATTTATGTAATGACACATGGAATTTAAGGACCACAATATTTCAATCTTACGCGGTGCCAAACACAACACAACAAAATAAGAGTTGTACTATAAATTACCCATACTGTGCGCCTTGAGAGACCACACAAGACGCAACAATCAATCTATCAATTTCAAACAACAAAGGAACTACGGAGATGCCCATTTGCGAAGGTAATTAGCAAAATAGTGCTTATCCATAAGAAAAAAAAAAATTCCAATGATAGTCGTTATTATTAATTCTTTCAATAAAATCCAGCCGGTGTCGTGTACTCGGAGGCTTGTGAGTGTAATATTTAATTAATGAAAGGAGGGGTTTTTCTTCTGAGTTGCTTTAGCTCAAGTCGATATATTTCAGATGACATGGCCGGTTAAGTTACGCACTGCAATTAGCATCTTTCCACGTGCAACAATCGACTTTAGCGTCACAAGAAAACAACATGGTTGAGTTTGAGGGAAGGTGCAGAAAACTGTTTGAAGCTTTAACGTGATTATTGTACTTTTATTTTGGTGCAGGGGATTCTTACAATGTACGCATGGAGAGGCATGCGGTGAATCTTCTCTTGCTCTTAGTAAAAATCAGTAGTTTTTGTTAAAAAAAACTTGAATCCTCTTTCGATGAGATTATGTTGAAGGGATTTTTTATACTTTTGTTTGCCTCAATTTGCCGTTGGCCGTTAAAATTTTGACATTTAATTTCCTTTACTTGATAGTCTAAAGCTACAATTGGTGAATAAACATGAATGTATTATATAGCTATTTGGTGACAACTAAACTATTGTAGCCAGTGGAATCCTTCATCAACAGACAACAAACAACGCAGTGTCTCTTAATAAGACTCATGCAAAATCTTAAAACAGTATATATAGCATTCGACCTGAATTCATACATAATTCATCGTCTTGAAAAATTATAATATAAACCAAGAGACGACGCATGAGGATAACATATATACAACTCCTAATCTTTATATATACATTGCCATGTTGATTGCCTCATCTATCTCTAAATCAGTAGTTTGTCATTGAGAGGCTCTAACAATTTAGTTTTACAAAAATGCACTATCTTGAAAAAATTAAAACATAATTTATTATTTTTTATTTAACTTCTTTTAATCACACGCATTATGCTCATGTATTTAACAAGCCTTACAAAATCATACAAGAAGCAAACACCAAACATATGTAACAAATCCAGCAACTCATATACTAAAGACACAACCAGCATCAGAATACTGCAAATAAATTAAAGCAACAAGTCCTCCGAAAGGAGAGATCCACGAATAATGCTTTTATGGAGTCTTCATAAATTTCTTCCCAACGCTCTCATAGTCCTTCTCCATTTGATAACGAAATCCACATAAACACAGTCCCACAGTTTCTGAAAGAAGGCATAATAAGCTTCCCTCCATTTCTTCTTAAAAAATAATACACAGAGGACAGCTGAAACCCCAACAGCATACCCTAAAGATAGGAATACGTAAAACCAATTAATCTCTGGCATACCGCTTTCATTCTCTGCGTGCGCTGGGCTAGGGGCATTACTGTCATTTCTGCATGAAATTTTCAGTGGTGAGCCACAAAGATTGTTGCCGATGAAACTCGACTCGTTGAAGCCTCGAATCTGGGTGCTTTCTGGGATTCTTCCAGTCAAGTGGTTAAACGACAAATTCAAGTAATTCATAGAAGTCATGATTGACATGCTACTTGGAATGTTGCCGGACAATGAGTTGATTGAGAAATCAAGAGATTCGAGTTGCTTCATGTTTCCTATGTTGTCTGGGATGGATCCTGTTAAATTATTTCGTGACAGGTTAAGTGATCTGAGTTCCACCAGACTTGTTACCTCTCTTGGGATGTCTCCAGATAAATTGTTCATAGAAAGGTCAATACTGGTAACCAAAGAGAGAATGGTGTCATAAGTGAGTTCTCTTCCCTTTGTTGCAATTGATGCGCTTTCAGTAAATGTACCATTGACATAAAAAAACTGTTGTAAAGTTCTTTTAGTGGTCAATGCGGTAAAATTATTGAGGCATGAAGGAATTCTCCCTGAAAGTCTGTTATGAGAGAGATCCAAGATCTGAAGAGAACTTAGTTGGCATATGGATGGAGTAATCTCACCACTGAAATTGTTTAACCGCAAAATGAGAATTTCCAGTTGGAAAAATCTTTTGTTAATCCATTTTGATATGTCCCCGCCAAGATTGTTATCACCAAAGTCGATCTTCATTAGTCCCGTGCAGTTTTGCAATGAAGAAGGTACGTGGCCAGAGAAATTGTTGCCGTGGAGATTCAAAGAAGCTAAACGTTTAAGAAAACCTATGGAATTTGGTATTCTTCCAGAGAATTTGTTGTTGGCTAAGTTCAACACTGCCAATGATTGCCATTTGATAAAACATTCGGGTAACTCTCCAGAAAGATGGTTTCCTTCAAAATTTACGAGCACTACATTGGATGTATTGATACAAAGAAATTCTGACAAACCTCCGGAAAAAGAGTTATTGGAGAGATGGAGTTCCAAGAATGAACTTGTCATTAGTTGAGGCAATGGACCACTAAACCTGTTGGAACTCAAGTCGAAAAATTGTAATATATCATAATCATGTCGTGGATCACTAATGAATAAAATCTTTCCGTCGAGTTGATTATGCGAAAGGTTGAGATATCTTAAACCCATTAACCAGCTGGGAACGTTTCCATAGACTCCAGAACACGACAAATCCAGACTAGAGATACTATCTTTCTGAGTCTGAAGCCATAACGGGATTCGAGATCCCAAGTCCCAAGACCCTAGACTAAGCGTCTCTAGTTTGAATGGTGGAATCCAATTTGGGCCGACTTTCAAACTCAAGTGGTTTCCAGAGGCTTGCAATACTTTTAAATTTGAGAGATTGGCAAAGTGGGTTTCAGTCACAACTCCTTCCAACGTGTTATTCTCTATCCAAAGCTCTGTCAAGTTCACAAGTTTCCCAATACTCTCTGGTAACTTCCCCCTCAATTTATTATTATCCAACTCTAACCTTTCAAGGGAAAAGGAATTCCCTAATTCATCTGGAATTACACCGGACAATGAATTTTCTCTAAGGTAAATATACCGAAGACGCTTAAATTTTCCAAATTGAGGAGGCAGATGACCGGAGAGCTGATTCCATGACAAATCTAAAAATTCCAATGCTCGTAAGAAGCAATCTGACATGTTTCCAAATGAATCTGATATCTCTCCTCCCAAATTATTAACCGATAAACTCAAGGTCTGAATATTGCACAGATTCGCAATTTCTCTTGGTATTTTTCCAGAAAGTTCATTTTGACTTAAATCGAGGGTATTGAGAGAAGTCAGATTCGCTATGGAATTGGAAATTCCATCTCTTATAAGATGATTTGTTGCCAGGCTCACATACTCAAGGTGTTTGCAGGAGTAGAGCCAGTTTGGAATGCTTGAATTCAAATTGTTATAGGAGAGATCAATGTGTTGGAGTTTTGTGGTGTTGCTCATTGTTGGAATTGTGCCGACAAATAAGTTGGAGCTCATATCAAGATAAACAAGGTTACCGAGTTCAAAAATCCTTGGAGGGATGATGGCATAAGACAGTGAATTGTAGTATGGGTTCCAAGAGAGATCAAGAGTGGCTAAATTAGAACGGCTGATGTTGTTAACATCACTAAAAGGAGCCATAAAATTAAGATTACATCCACTAAAATGCAGGTCGACTAAAGAAGGCATTTTGTCGATTACCTTTTGGGCCCAGTTGGTTTCTTTGCTGAGGTCCACACCATTCATGTTGAGGTGCTCCAGTTGAGAAAGTCCCCACAACCATTCAAGACTATCAGCATATGAATTGTACAATCCGAATGTCCTCAAACTCAGAGTGTGCAAATTTGAAAGATTTCCAATATTGTGGGGAATCTTTCCATAAAATCCAGCGGATTCTAAATTCAAGTACTCGAGGCTAGTGAGTGATCCAATGAAAGAAGGGATCTTTTCATGAAAGTTGTTAAAGCTCAAGTCAAGATATTTCAAATGTTTTAAGTTGAGCAAAGAAGAGTTTAATTTTCCACCTAGACCGTTACCTTGAAGATAAAGTCGAAAAACATGGCCAGTTACGTTGCTGCACACGACACCTTCCCAAGTGCAACAATCAACTTTGGAATCCCAAGAAGACAACAAGTTTAAGGGGCCCTGCAGAGATTGCTTGAAGCTTAAAAGTGATTGTTTTTCAGCTTCATGGCAAGAGATTGAATAGAGTGGTCTGAAGAACAAGTAAAGGAGGACCAAAAGCATAGATGCAAGGATACATAATTTTGATTCATTCATCCTCATTACTTAAAACTTGTACTGATGGTGGTTTGATATGGTTTGATAGAGTGCACATACAATCTACATATATATACAAGGAATGAGGTCAACTTATTCTTGCACCTCTTATGGTTCACTTATTTTCACTTCAAAGAAAATAAATATTCAGGGGTAATCAGGGCGGCTTTTATACATGTGATATTATTTGCATCCACTGTTAAAATTTATATTCCTGCATATTATATTTACCTTTATGATGTATGCATTTGCATGAATTAAGTAAATTGTAAATCCGTTGCAAACTGAAGGGAAATAGAAGCCATCGCTATCAAATTGTGTGTAAAAGGGGCAAATACTAAGTTGTCTACTTCGTCTGATAATGAAAGAAAAAATGAAATGTTGGAGCAATAAAATGACCTTGACTTACTTTGAACCACTAATGATGTGTACCATTCGTCCTATTGCTTTT